GAGCACTTAGAACAGTGGCTGGCATTTGGGAAATGCAATCTAAACATTAACAATTACAATTCCCCACACATCTGTCTCCCATAGGAAATTATTAAGCTCTTAGAGAAAAATCTCATTTATTCAACATTTTTGGTGTACTTATGATGTGGCATTTGTTAGCCAATGGGGACAATGTTAAAAAAAAAAAAAAACTTGGCAAATGGGAAGACTGTTGAATAATGATTCAAACAGAATGTGACAAATGCTATACTCCAGGAACAAGAATAGTGCAGAGACTACAGAGCAAGTAAAATCTAATGGTCCAGGACAGATGGGGAATTCTTTCTGACCTAACATTTGAGACGGGGCATGAATGAATATGTAGGGRAAATGCTGTGTTGCTAAGAACCATGGCAGGGAAGAACCACAGGTGGGGCTGAAAAGACAGGCTGGGGCCCATTGCACAAGTCTGCATGTCATTGTCTGGTAAGTGTTTGTCAACCTCACCATTCTAGTACAATGGGTGTGCCACATGTAATTTTGAGGAGTCCAAGCAATTTGTTACTAACAATAGATGAAATGTGGCTACCTGACATTGTAAAAATAAATCAGGACACACTCCCAGGGTGTAAGAAAAGAAGCCAGACACAAAAGAATACATACTCTAGGATTCCATTTACATAAAAGTAAAAAAAATCAGATAAAGCTAATTGATGTTTCCTCCATTCAGGATATAGCTGTCTTTAAGGGTGGATAGTGACTGGAAGAAGAACTCAGGGGGACTTCTGGGTACCACTAGTGTGTTTTGACTGGGGTGCTGGTTCCACTGTCATGCCATTTCCGAAAATTCAACATTCTGTATATTCACGAACAGCTTTTCAGTGTCTTTTATGCTTCAAGTTAAAAAGAGTATATTCATGACACTTTATGCTAACTTGCTTTTATTGGGAGAAGGATTACAGATGGCCCTCTGGGAATCCCCTGGGAGCTCACTAGGTAGATAAATATTGCTCATTACCTGTTCCTTTATGGCCTAATCTGAGAACAGCTTGTGGATGCTCTAAAAAACCAAGTAGAGTCACCATATAACCAAGGGTCACCTTCAGCAACAGCAGGGCTTGGCATGTGTGTAATGAACTAACGTGCACTCCAAAGTCAGATACACATTTGGCACTCCTACCAGATTGCTTTCCCCTCATTTTATGTACAATAAAGATGGTGGTTTCTTATTAACCTTATAAAGAAATATAGGCGCAAAACACATCTGCATTTATAAAAGTTATAATTCATTCAATATTTATGTATCCTAGGGAACATTGTTTTCTCAAGTTTTTTATTAAAAAAATTTTTTAACCCAGTTACAAGCAAAAGAGCACAAAAAGATACGAGAAGTCAAATCCATTTCAGATCTCTCTCTCGAGGTAACCACTGTTATCTCTCTCTCTCTCTCTCTATCTCACACACACACACACACACACACACACACACACACATACATTTTGGAGGTAGTATTGAAGATTGAACCCTGGGCCTTGTACATGCTTGGTAAATGTTCTACCACTGAGCTACATTTCCAGCCCCTTTTATTTTGGGGGGACAGGGTCTCTCTAAGTTGAAGAAGCTAGCCTAAGCCTAGCTTGCAAACCTTCTGCCACAGTCTCCTGAGGTCACAAGCATTCACCACTATGCCTGGCTTCTCTTACACATTCTTAAATACACATTTTGTATGGTCATCCCTCTGTATTATGGATTCAATCATAACAGATTGAAAAAACATTACATCTGTACTGAATGTATATAGACTTTTTTCTTGTCATTATTTCCTAACACAGTGTACATAGTATTTACATAGTATTAGGCATAAGTAATCTAGAAGGCTGTGGGTAGGTTATGTGCAAATAGTATGCCACTTTATATAAGGGACTTGAATACCTATGAATTTTGGTATCTTGGCAAGATGTGTGTGGGTGGTGTAGGTACTGAAACCAACTCTCTGTAGATACCAAAGGATGACTATATAAATACATGGATGTGTATTACTCTTGCTCCACTACTTTTCTAAATAAATGGGTGCCCATTATATCCATCTATTTTTACAGGAGATGTTTCATATCTATAAACATGGATATACTCATTCTTTTCACAGGTATACATTCCAATGATATTTCAAGTCTTTTGTGTTTTACAATGTGGCATTGAACATCCTTGAATACACATTCTTTGATGTGCTTTTTAAGTTATGATAGAGCCAAGCATAGTGGCATATACCTGCAGTTCCTGATCCTCAGGAGGCTGAGGCAGGACAATCACTTGAGTCCAGGAGTTCCAGATCAGCCTGGGCATTTCAAAAAATAAAAATATTAAAATAAATAACTTATGGTAGAAACTGAATGAATGTGTATTTTTACTAACAGTGTACCAACAAACTTTTTGACCTCTGCATTTCTATTTGATTAACATGGGCACCTCATTATTTTAATTAGCAATATTCTATTCAGTTCCACTGACCTCTCTATTTCTACCTTAATAAGTATTACACTGTTTTGATTACCATATATAATCAATATTAAATCAAATATTAATCAGAAGATAAACTTTAATGTCTAGTAGATTAAGTCTTCCTTCTATTCCTTATATTTTTCTACAAAGGGGACTTTTACAGAGTATTTTAAGGACATCATTTTAGATTGCTTTAATGACAGAGTCACCAGCATAACACAATTGCTGCTCATATTACACAAATCTAATAAACATAAGAAAAAATCCATGTACTGCTTCTGTTCAGAAAGACAGAATTATACATATTACAATAATTTTAAATCAGAAAATTACCTGATTAGAAAAAATTTTTAGAAGAATCACATTTAACAGCTGGAGGCATCACAATGCCTCACATCAAAACACACAGCAAAACTATGGTAATAAAAGCAGCATGGGACTGGCACACAGAGCAATGGAACCCAATAGCAACTCCACAAATTAATCCACATGTTTACATCCAATTGACTTTCAACAAAGGTGCCAAGAACAGTTACTGAAGAAAGGACGGTCTTTTTAATAAATGATAACTAGAAAAACCGAACATACATATTTAGAAGAATTTAGAAGAATGAAACCCCTACCTCTTACCACATGCAAAGATCAATTCAAGATAGAGCAAAGATCTAAATGTAAAACTGGAAACTATAAACTACCAAAAAAAAAAAAATAGGGGAAATGCTTTAAGATATTTTGGATAAGACCTCAAAAGCACATACAACAAAAGTGAAACAAGGGAAATAACTATACATCTGACAGGCGACTAATATCCAGAATACATAGAGAACACAAACAACAGCAAACAAACAAACAACAAAAACAAATAATTCAATTAAGAAAAATAGTCAAAATATCTGAAGAGATCTTTCTCAAAGAAAGACACACAAAATTCTAGATACGAGGGTGGGTTGGGGAGGGCAAGGGCAAGAGGACTCAAGTTTGAGGCTAGCTTCAGCAATTTAGGAAAAAATTCAATAACTTAGTGAGATCCTGTCTCAAAATAAAAAGTAAAAGAACTGGGGATGTAGCTCAATGGTCAAACATCCCTGGGTTCAATCCCCAGTATTATTAGAAGAAAGAAGACATGCAAATGGCCAGCAGTATATGAAAAAATGTTCAACCTCTAAACATCAGAGAAACGCAGATCAAAACCACATGAGATAACATGTCACCCGAGTTAAAATGATTATTGTCAAAAGAGACAAAAAACAAAACCAGAAAAACAAACACTGGAGAGGATGTGCAGAAAACTCTTACACAGAAAAAGAAATATTGGAGAGGATGTACAGAAAACTCTTATATACTATTGGCAGGAATGTAAATTAGTACAGCCATTATGGAACATAAACAGTATTGAGGTTCCTTAAAAAACTGAAAATAGAACTACCATATAATCCTATCATTGGGTATATAGCCAAAGGAAATTAAATCAGTATATCAAAGAGATACTTGCATGCACATGTTTATTGCAATATGGTATACAATAGCAAAGATATGTAGTCAATTTAGACATCCATCAATGAAAGAATGCATTAGACGTATATTATATATACACAGTATACACATAATGAAATATTTTCTCATTAAAAATAATGGAATCCTGTCATTTTTCAGCACCATGGATGGAACTAGAGGACTTTATATTAAGTGTAATGAGCCAGGACAAAGACAAATGCTGCATTTTCTCACTCTTGTGGAAGTTAAAGAAATTGATCACATAGAAGTAGAGAGTAGAACGTAGGTCACTAGAAACTAGGAAAGTAGGAGGAAAGGAGGGACAGAGGTTGAATAATGAGTACCACAAAATCATTAGATGGGGAAATTGGTTCTAATGTTCTACAGCACAGGAGGGTAACTATAGTCTACAACAACAAATATTTCAAAATAAGTAGAAAAGAAGAATTTGAAGGTTCACAAGACAGAATTGATAATTTTGAGGAGTTGGAGATAGTAATTACCTTGACTTGCTCAATATACATTATAAACATGTATTCAATTATAATACTGTGCCACATAAATATCTACAAATATTATATGTCAACTAGAAATTTTTTAAAAACAATCACATTCATAAAGTGGATCATGTTCATACAATAGACCTTCATTCCCCAAATCCATGTCCATCTGGAACCTGTAAGCATGATCTTATTTAGAAAAAGTTCTTTGCAGATGTAATCAAGTTAAGACAAGGTCATGCTGGATTAGAATGAGGCCTAATCCAATGACTGTTGCCCTTATAAGAGGGAAAATGGACATGGACACACATGCCATGCCACGAGCAAGAGACTAGAGTAACGCAGGTACAAAGCAACAGACCTCAAAGACAGCTGGCAATACCAGAAGCAGGGAAGGTTTCTTCTCCAGAGCTTTGAGGGAAAGCACGACCATGATGACACCTTACTTTGGACTTACTGCCCTCAGAACTTGAGAGAATACATTTTAGTGGTTTTAAGTTGTTAAGTAGGTAGTAATTTGTTATGGCAGCCCTAGGAAACTAATACAATTAACTGTCCCAAATTGTATGTGCTTGAATCGCCATCAATTTCAAGAGGCATACAATTATATCAAGTGATATGGCATTTGATGCATCTTTTCAGGCACTAGGCTGCTTCCAATAGGCAAAAAGAAAGACTTCATTTAGAAAACGCTTTGGTGGAGTTTTGTTTTGTTTTTAACTGTTATATCATGGAGACACAATTTATATTGAGGAAAACCAATTAATGAAGTCAAATGCTACTGTTTCACAAAGGGCTCACACTTTTACTACAGAGTGCCTCTGTACCTTTTAGCAACTTCAAAAGTGCAGCTGGATTATATGGGAAGAGATTTCTCTTTTGCAAACGGCAAATGGCATCTTGTAGCTCTTTGAAGCATTTTATTATTCTATAAAATATTCTTGCTTCGGAGACAGTGTTATTTGGGGCTGCTTCACAATCAATGAAGGAAGTAGTAGATTCCTTTGCAATCAGAGGCCATGATTGAGGCTCATGGTTAAATTCCTTTTTATCCCTGCTTAACGCAGCTGGGTCCTGAATTTTCTTAATTGCTTCTTGGTGTAAAGATGTTTGTTCACTTTTTACTAAACACTGGTCTGTGGATTCTGCTTCAGAATCATCAGAGTCTTCATAATCTACCAGACTGTGAGACGCCTGGGGGGAAGACAGACTATGATCCCCCATGGTATGGGTTTCCTTGGATATCACAACCTGGTTCAGTGGTTCAGAAGAATCACCAGAAGCCCTGGTGACCCAAGCGTGTCCCTTTTTGTGACTATTAGGAGCAGTCAAATGATGAGGCAGTATGGAGTTGGTGCTTCTGTCTTGGACTAGTGAGGAGACACAACCACAAATATTTATGCCATATTGAGATTCAGATGCATCAAAGAACTCACAGATAGTGAAAAAATTATCCCAGTCTTTTTGCAGTAATTTTAAATACCTAACAAAATATTCAAGAAAACAGGTTTCTGATGAAATCAAAAAGTCAAGAAGAACTGTAGAATCAAATCCTATATTTTTTAGGAAGAATAAGAAAATACAGTGAGGATTATAACCATTTTCATGGGTGTGACGGATCCACATTTCCTTTTCTTGGGTCAACCTTTTCGTAGCCTCACATTCTCTGAAAATGAAGGTAATGGTGAACTCGGATTAATGACTTTTCATAAACATAACAGTTTTGACAGATTTAATTCACATGCCACATATTCACCTGTCACCTTACTTTTTAATCTACCCATAACTTTAAAAGAAAAAAGTTCAAAACCAATCCTTTTCCCCACAAACTCTAAGAGAATTTGACTTAATAAAACAAAGTCCACTGTCTTAGGCATTTCCACTTTTTGTCTGCCTAACAGAAGTCCTGCCATCCTTTATCCTGACATCAGAACCCTTCATTCTTTTGGGCAACCAATTCTATGTGGTAAGGTAGAGGTGGAACCTAAACCTCAGCAGAGGTGGGCAAGTAACCCAGACTGACCCATCAGTGCACTCATGCTCCTTGCTGGCCACAGTGATTGGTTCTGTATATGGGACTCAAGTGAGCTATTCAGATCTCTGCTGGGAATTTTACTTGAGATATGAAAGGTGATAATTCTAAGACTGAGGTAAGCCTGATGAGCTGCTAGTAGCTCATAAAATATTCTTGCTTTGGAGAATATTCAAAAAGAAAGACTTCATTTAGAAAACCCTTTAATGGAGGTTTTTTTTTTTTGTTTTGTTTTTGTTTTTAACTACTATATCATTGAGACACAATTTATATTGAGGAAAACCAATTCATGAAGTCAAATGCCACTGTTTCACAAAGAGCTCACACTTTTATTACACAGTGCCTCTGTACTTTTTAGCAACTTCAAAAGTGCAGCTGGATTATATGGGAAGATACATCTCTTTTACAAATGGCAAATGCCTAAAATTAATTCAGAATTGTGAGATACCAAAAAGGAGAAGTAACTGATGACAATTTAAATCCTTGATGCCAACTAAATCCCTTAAGAACTCCTCATAGTGAGCCAATAAATCCTTTGTTTGTTTAAATCAGTTTGAGTTGATTTCCATCATTTACCACCAAAAAAATCTTTAATATAACTACATATTTTTTGAAAGTATGTATGCCATAAGTATTTGCCATTCGGGAAACTGAACTGAAATGAACAGAGAAATTCACATATAAAGCAAATTTAATTCAGAGGCTTCCTCTTTCTTAAGAAGTCAACTTTGAATACAATTAAGATATGCTCTTATAGGCCTGTGCATTTTCAGTATGAATTTTTATTTTACCATTTTTGAGCCTAATTCAAATCACATGCAGGAATTTTGTGTTCTTGATTAGAACCTTTTGAAAATTGGCCTCAAACACTTGGTCTGAAAGCAGCCACTGCCAGCAGTGTCATAACACAGCAAGTACTGGCAGCACAACGCTGTACCGCTGATCATTAGTGAGAAATCCCTTTCTCCCAGGCCAAGAAAGAAATGGAAATAAAGCAAATACTTTAGGGTTTTAATAAAGCAGAGCAGAAATGGTGGAAAAGGTCATCRGTTATTAATTTCATAAGCAATTATAGATATTTGCCACAAGAAAATATTGCTGTTAAGTGCAGCTGTTTTAATAAAGTAGAAACAGAGTCAGTATGAAATGTCACCAGTAACAAAACTTCAAAATTAATTTTACATACTTGCCTGAAGAAGGTATAAGTTAAAATGTGGCTGTAGATTACAGTGAAAATATAGAACTGTTCCTTTGATTTTTTATAAGTCAGTACTTATTTTTATAAAGGAAAAAATATCTTACAGAAGTTTTATACAGAAATGTAAGTCTCAGAGGTGAATAATGATCATACCCATCAAATGTGATTCACAGAAGTGAATTAGCTTACCCCTAACTACACAGGTAAAGCAGACGTGCAGACTATATAGGATCCCAGGTTTTCGGATTCCAGCCTAGTTCTACATCCCCTGCCCAGTCTGCCAAGTTATCATAATAATACAAATGTAATCTTGTTTGTGTGTAAGGCAAGATTAAAGAAAGGAATTGGAACTTAGGAGGAAACCACAAGATCCACCACCCAATTGATGGAAGGTAAATAATACACTCAGTATATTTTCTGAAATGTTTCCTGCCTTTTGGCTTGCGGGTAGTTGAATAATTACTTTAAACTCACTAACCTGGTCAACTTTAGGTAAATGCCCATTGATGCCTTGGCAGCCTCCAGCATGTCATCGTCTTGTTCTATGAATACCCTGGACAGCCATTCACATGGATTATGTAGTTGCAGTGAGGGCTGAAGGTGAGGCTTTAAGAAGGTCAGTAACTCAGACATGAACCTGTGTAAATCAACTTCAAAAAATGCAAGTTTCAAAGTGTAGGCAATAGTTTATGAATACATTAATAATACCTTGCCTATATACAAATTTCTAATAAAGTACCTTAAAATGCTAGATCATAATTCACACCTTCTAAAGTTATATAAATTAGGGAGTATTTCTATTTTATAAATGAGGAAACTGAGGCTCAGAGAAAAAAAGTGATTTAGAAAGATGCATTTAAAATGTTAGCATGCATTTAAAATGTAAGCATGCATTTAAAAATGGCTATATGTCTATTTGGCACAAGTGACAAATAAGTAATTACAATACAGCTGAGAAAAAAATTACATGATGATCTCTTGATAAAAGCATATACATAAATGATGAAAAAAGGTCTTTTCACTGGATACCAAAGCTGCTTTTTACTAGAGACAATACAACCAAGCAAGTTTTTCCTTCAAAATAACAGAAAATATTTTTTTGTTTGTTTATGGAAGCATGTAAAGAAAGTTCTGCTTAATATTAAGCCAAAAATATCAAAAAGGCTTATGGAATTTTTAAATTATGAATTATACAATAGATGCCACCTAGTGTTCCAAATTGTAACTACAAAAATTATAACTAATAAGTAGTTATTAAAAGCTCAATGATATCCAAAGCAGTCCAGGAAAGTCACTGCTTACAATTTATGCTTTTCACAGTAGGCTGTTTGGTAGACATTTACTGTTCATTTTTCTCAAATGAAATAGAGGACATGTATTCTCCAACACCTACACTGAAAATCATACTTTACAAGGCTTTCTTTGAACACTTGATTTATCATCTTGGAAATTATATGCAACAATTTCTTCATCAATATAACTTCTCATACTTTAGTTTTAATTTGATTTCTAATTATCAGCAATCCACATAAGTAGATAATACTACATTCATGAATGATAATATAGATAAAATACAAATATTTGAATATGAGTTGACTTCTATCATTTATTATGAGATGACTTGAGAGTAATTATTTTTGGCTGAAGTCATTTATTATGCTATACACATTCAGTTAGCCCACAAAAAGCTGGCATGTTCCTTAAGGTTATTTCTTTTGGGGGAAAAATCTTAAATTAATGGAATTCATACTAGTCCTGAGATTTGATAATTCAGAATTATTTTACTGAAGTAAATAATTATACATTAGTTTGCACAAAAAAGGGGTTTGGAGAATTACCTTTCATTTCATTTGTTGAGGTATCACTTTGAAATTTGATTTCTAAGGATTTCATTGTAATTAAACTTGCTGCTCTAAGGATCACATGATCTGGACCACAGAGATATGCACATCCAGGCTGAACTTCATCACCTCCAAAGCAGGAAGGTTTTCTATGAACAGACAATGTCTTCAACAACCCAAGATGCACAGCTTGCAAAACAGCATTAGCTAAAGCCAACATGTCTGTGTCTAAGTGATGATCTGGCGATATCATGGCAGGAACAGAGCCACGACAGAGGTCTTCGCCCACTTTATAGAGAAGGCACTTTTTGATGAAAATGATCAACTTTCTTTTGACAAAAGCCTGAATAGGCCAGGTAAGAACATCTAGCACACAAGAAGGTTTCAAAAATAAAATCCTTTGGCTCTTGCAATGTAACTTCAGGTAGATTCTGGAGGCTATGAGAAGTTCGAGCAATTCCAGGAAACATACCAAGCTGTTTATTATTCTAGAAAGTTTCTGACAGTTTTTAAAATGCTGAACGAATAAGGAATCATAGAACACTTCAAGAGTAGTATCAAAAGGAGTCAGGAACTGCTTTAAAATTTCTGCAATTATAAAAACAGTAATTATACACAATAGGGAAAACAAAGCTTTTTAAAATGCAATTTTATAATTCAATTTTTATGAATATCACTTCATAAGAGAAAAGATAGGTTTGGAATATTTACCTAGAGTATGAACAAATGAGAATACAGAGATTAACAGTTATTAACCATGGTTAACATTCACTTTACAAACACCAATAGCAGCAGATAATAAGTAAAAGCTTTATTTTTTTCCTTGTAACTKTTTTTCTTTTTAAAAAAGTTATCCTTGGGCTGGGAATGTAGCTCAGTGGTAGAGTATTTGCCTAATGTGTAGGAGGCCCTAGATTTGAACCCCATGGCATGTGCACACACATGCAGGCATACACACAAAATATGGAAAGATTTTTTTGTTTGTTTTTTATACTTCAAACAGATCATAAGTAAGTTTTTTTTTTCTTGATTATAAATATAATGTTCCTGGAAGTTAGATGATGACTATTTATGGGACAATGTAATGTGTACCTGCTTTTTCTGAACACGTATCTTTAAAGATTTCTTTCATTACCGCTGTAAGAGTCCAGAGACAATGTATTGCTTCATCACTCTCAGAATATCCAGAAAGATTTTTTTGGCAAAAAGCAATCCATGAATTACTTAACATTATCTATAAGGAAGAAATAAAAAAATCTTATGATTTAGTACTTTCTTTAAAATCATAAATTACCTATTATTCACAACACAACTATATACAACATTGTTTACTTGTTTGCCTAAAAAAAACCATGATAACATTTGGTTAAACAAGAAGGAAGTAAAACATCCCAATATTCTTTAAGTGAAGAAAATCAATATATCAGAGAAATAAAGGAAACATGCCAATATTAGCAGTCTTATCTCTAGGTGGTAAAATGATGTGTAGCTTTTATTTTGTTCTTTATACTTTGTCACATTTTTCAAATTTCCTACTACCAATAACATCTTTTTATAATCAGAAAAAATGTTATTTTAAGAAGGAAACAAATCATTTATAGCTGAAAGAAGTCAGTAGATGCTTAGAATTGCTTATTAACTAATTCACAGATAAGAGGATAACCTGATTCTAAATGTATCGATATATTTTTTCCATTATGCTGAGGACCATTCTGAAAATTAACTTATATTAGCCACTGAAAACAGGCTTAGTCTCAAACAGAAGTGCCTAAACCTTTCTTGTGGAGAGGGGTCTAACCTACTTTCTTAAGAATGTGAAGAAAGTTATGGCCTCTGATGTGAAACCCACCTTTTAAGGTTAAGAATCTGATTTATTATAATTTATAATGTATTTAAGACTTTAATTCTTGATGTAAGCCACCATTGTATTATTAGATTCTTAGATTTTTGTGGACTTCACGTTATTACGTAAGCAAATCCTTGATTAATGCAAATACCTGAAGGTGTAAAATCAAGTGTCAAAGAACAACTTTGAAAATATTAGAAGAGAAATAATAACATACTTTGATCACTTAGCTTACCTTTTCTCTCAACTGGAAATACAGAAGCAACGCAAGGCACTTTGCGGCCATGTGAGACAACAATTTGTCTGAATTTTGGAACATGCAGATCTACAACCAAACAAATACATGTAATCATTACTACTGAATGTTCTTAAAACATTTATTTTAAATACTTAGGTCTTCAAAATCGATAAAAATTGGCTTACCAATTTAGAATCAATTTCATTTGATTGCAAAAGAATTTTAATTACATCTCTGTATTTCTCTTTTGCATGGATCTCAGTTTCAACAGACAATATCCTGGTTACCATCACTTTGATCACAGTTAACTGAAGGAGCATCATCTCTTGGGCATCGCTCATCTGAGAGTGTCTCTTCACACAAACAGGTGCTTCAGGAATGGTAGACACCCTGATGGAGGGCAGCTGATGCTGGCCCGGCACAGCATCGGTGTTCAGCCATTCTAAGGAACTGGCTGCTGAGCAATCTTGGTTTGAAAGTGCTGGGTTGAGGTAAAAGACATAATCATGGCTGTCATCTTCAAGTATGGTTCCAGAAAGTACTTTTTTGTATAACTGTTCTAAAACTTCACAGAAGGTTTTCATTTTGATATCCAACATCAATCTTTAAGATGGCTGATAACTCCAATTTGTAAATACTGATATCTTAGAAATGTGATGAATCTCTATAATGCTTCTTCAGTAAAGCCTAAAATAGAAGAAGTAATTTTAATAACGAGTGTAATATTCATATTACAAAAGAAAGACAACTATTGTTTCCACTTAACCACAAAGTCTCAAGTAAGGGTAATATTGGTTGCTGAATTTCTAATATGGAAATTCATAATAAGAACATCACTTTAAGATTATAATAATGAGCCAGGAATGGTGGCACAAACCTGTAATCCCAGCTGCTCCGGAGGCTGAGGCAGGGGGATCACAAATTCAGAGCCAGCCTCAGCAAAAGCAAGGTGCTAAGAAACTCAGTGAGACCCTGTCTCTAAATAAAATACAAAATAGGGCTGGGATATGGGCTCAGTGGCTGAGTGCCCCTGAGTTCAATCCCTGGCACGCCCCCACCCCCCAAAAAGACTATAACAGTAAAATGTATGCTTTCTATATAGACTTAAGGGCAAAAAATTAAGGGTGATTTTATCACAACAAAAACATCAACTTTCTTCTAACACTGCTCATTGGGTTGCCAGGGCTCAGTGCTGTTTACATTTGTAGCTAGATTACTCTGTAGTCAAGAGCTGTCTTGGGCTCTGTAGGATGTTAGGCAACATTCCCAACTTCTACCCCTACATTCCAAAGCACTCCCAGCCTCATCCACTAGATTCTGACAACCRAAAATGTCTATAGACATTGTCAAATGTCCCTTAGGGGCAAAATCGCCCCAGTTCATTGGGGTAATTAAAATTCATTAAACTTAACCTCCAATTTATAGATGAAAATGTGAGGTTAGATTGCTATATGGCCAAACGATATTATAGCTATTGTTCATTAAGTTCCAATTTAGAACATAAGATAATGGCAAGAGTCTTAATTATCACCTATTTAAAAAAAATTTTCAAATGTCTCAAGAAAAAGACAAAATATGAAGCGAAAATAATCCAAACATGAGCAAACTGTATTTGTGGCTAGATGTAAATTTAGACATTCCAGTTGTCTAGGACTTCCCGGACATGATGAAGACCAGGAAGAGGAAGGAAATGGACATTTAAGGTCAGAAAGGACTTTTAAGGCACAGAATATGGGCCATTGACTGATGGGTCAATATCAGAGGAAGCATGTAGAATAAAGACTTTGGCATAAGCAAAGATTTACTGAATATCCTTCTAATGGAATACTGGTGCCTCTGGGAATGACCTGATCCTATGGGGGCTCTGACCCTTTCATTGCCTTTGAGCTATTTTGCATCTCTTAACTGTAGATAATTGATACAAATGCAAGTAATTCTTATCCATAGACAAGCAAATAATTGGTTTTGCTTCTACCTGTAAACATTTTAATATTCCTTTACTCCATATTAACTCATGGTTCTCTTACTTCTCCCTGAAATGGGCTGTGACATCTGCCTGATTCCCTCATGAACTAAAGAGTTTAGTAAAATATGTAATAATTGTTCATTTTATATGGGTCATGATTTTGTCCTCTTAAACCTTACCTTTTAACAAAACCTTTTCTTCTCCATCTTGACCTGTGCATAAATGCTGGACCCATCTTTAACCTCCTTCTCCGGAAGAGACTTTGAAGATGACCAGTTACATTGGACCTCACTTCTACAGTGTGGCCCACCAACCTAGCTGTGGTCTTCCACCTCTTTACACTGGCTTCTTCCCCCTATTTAGCTTCTAAGAAATTTCAACTATTGGCCACCCCACCAGACAAAGCTGTCCTGTTTCAGACCTCTAATACAGAGATAAATACAAGAAACCTATAGATTTTAAAATTATGAACAAAGCTTTAGTAAGTTTTCTCTGACTCCTACTTTCAAGCTGCAATATACATTCAAGATGATTGATTAATATATCTAATGATAATCTTTTTCCATCTGATAGCATTAAATTTTATCAGACCACTGTGCTCCCAGAAAGCAGCTATAGTTAAGAGCACTGTGCCCCTTTGTATTCCAGGAAGAAGCCAACCAGGAAGGATTGGCCCCTGTCCTTATTCCCAGGTAGAACCTACCTCTATCCTCCCCTCATGACTCCTTAGTTTTTATTTTTCTTAAGGTGAGGGTCTCTCTAAGTCGCCAAGGCTGGCCATTAACTTTAGATCCTCCTGCCTGAGACTCAAGTAGTTGGAACTATAGGTGTTGAGTGGTACACCGCTTTCTTTGTACTATAAAAATCTCTTCCTCCTCCTTGAGAGGTTTCCCACTGAAGAACATTCTCCCTATTGTGATAGCCTAAATAAAATCATCAYCTCGGCTGTTGTCAGTTATATATCAGAAATTGGTTTTCATATTCTACTTCAAATTTTATCATACTTATTTTTCTTTATTTTTTTAGTTTTAACAATAACATTTCTTCTCAATAAAACTACTGACACTTTAAAATAGAATCTTTTAGGCTTCAGTCAATAATATATGCTCAACTCATTAAAAATTTTAGCAACAAATGAAACTATTTTTATTTCAATCCTATATCAATAAAATACTTCCAATGATATTTCTATGGGTCAAAAATTCTTAAATTTTACCATAAAGGAAAATGAATTTGCTATTTGATCATTTCTATGGGCATAAAGGACAAATTTGTACAGTGCAATCTTTACAGCATACAAACGAAAGTGAGCATCAATAAATAAATATTTCAGAGAGAAAATAACGTGCTTTCTGTCATGGTAGGACCCTGTGCTATGAGAAAGAAATCAAGCTGAAAAGTTGTAAACTTTAAACTAAAAATACAGATTTAAGCCAGGTATAGTAGCAAGTTTGAGGTCAGTCTCAGCAATTTAGTGAGACCCTCAGTAACTTAGTGAGGCATTATCTCAAAATAAAAAATAAAAAGGAGTATCGATGTAGCTCAGTGGTAAAATACCCCTACGTTCAATTCCCAGAACCACAAAAAACAAACAACCCAGACTCAAATGGACTCTTTGTAAACATAAGAGAAATGATGGGGTCACAAAAGACTAATGGCCAGGCAGATGACAAATGAATGAGGACCAGTTGCTAGGTTGCTTCTGTTGGGACCAAATCAAACATAAACCTTTCTTAATTACACTGTTTCTTAAAATATTTATGAGAGACCAAATAAATCTGCACTGAAATAAATGTGGGTAGCCTGTTGAAAATTGAAAACTGTAGTTTTTCTTTTTAAAACAATTGTAGTGTTAAATGAAAGGATGAAAATTGAAAAAGCAAACTAGGGGGATAAACCAACTTTTTTTCCAGAAGTGCCTGCTCTGAGGTTGGCACATGGCAAGCTGCATTACCATGCTGGCCTGGAAGAAGGCGTACCCTTCAGACATCAAGCTTGTAAGAAATGAGAACAAAGCAGCAGGCCACTCTGGATGCTGTGAGGCTTTGAAACTGTTCATACATAGTAAACAAGAGAGGCCTGTCTAGCCTGGAAAGGGARTAAATAACTAGAGGGGTCAAATCAGGACAAGTGAATAAGCAGTGCCATCTCTTGGTATCTACAGAACATGCCTCTTGACAGGGAAGAGTAGACTCCCACTCCTGGCTGCCTAGGAAGGTACCAAGACAAGTTAGAAGGCAAGTGCGGTTCTTCAAATTTCCTCTGCTGCCACAAAGCCCAGAATGACAGGTGAATAAACTTCCTAAGAGTAAGTAGTAACTCATACAGCCTAATCTTTGACCTTCCATTCTACCGGGCATACCATAAAACAGAATACCAATCCTCAATCATTTTCAAGGTTCATTACTATGCAATTTACCAATGCAAACCAAGATTTATTTTTTTTAAAGAAATATTCAGCAGCCAAAGGCTTGATTGATTCAATTTTTATATTAAGTTTTAGTAGCTACAACAAACCCATCAGGTCCTCAAGAAAAGTTGCAATGATCCCACGTCGACATCAGGTCATCAACAGCTTACAGGTACTATGAATCTAAGTGACTGAGACTGCGATTGTACTACAATTAAAATAATTTTAATTTTCTACTAAATTAACTCAAAATAGATGCAAAACTTAAACTTAGCCTTTTAGGAAAAAACTGAACAAAATCCTTGGGATTTAGGGTTAAGTAAATCCTTGACTCTAAAAGCACAATTCATAAAAGTAAAAATTGGTAAACAGGACTTTGACAAAGTTAAAATAATTTGCACTGTGAAATATCATATTAAGAGGATGAAAGGCAAGATATAAACAGAGAAAATATATGCAAACCAAGTATCTGACAAAGAGCAAATACCTAATATATATAAAGAACTCTCAGATGGGTAAGACTTATGAACAAATATTTCACTAAAGAGGATACAGAGGTGGCAAATAAACACATGAAAAGATGGTCAAACTCATTAGTCATTAGGAAAATGCAAATTAAACCTACAGTGAAAGACCATTCTCAAAATAGCTAGAACAAAAATCAGTGACACCAAATACTGGTAAGAACATAAGAGAAACTGGATCCCTCTTATATGACTGGTGAAAATATTAACTGATACAGCTACTCTGGAAAACAGTTTGGCAGTTTCTTAAAAAGCTAAATCTGTACCACAATGTCCTCCACTTGGTGAATGGGTAAGTAAACTGGAATGCATCCACACCATGGAATACCTTTCAGCAACAAAAAGGGAAAAATTATAGATACGTGCAACATCAAAGGAATTAGATTGAAGGGGAAAAGTCAATCTCAGAAGGCTGTGTAGTTCATAATTCTATTCTTGAATGATAAAATAAGGAGTGAAGAACAGATTAGTGGCTGCCAGCTGCAAGGGAGGCCTCCTCTCCTTCAGTGGGTAGGGTTATAGAGGATAACAGAGGGATCCTTGTGATAATGAACTGATAGGGACAGACTAACCTACATAGATGACAAAATACACAGATGATAAAATTACACAGAACTAAGTATACATTCAAATGAATATAAGTAAACTCTGAATGAGATTGGCGTTGATGACAAGATCCTGACTATGCTGGGAATATAGCTCAGTGGTAGAGCATTTGCTTAGCATGTGTGGGGACCTAAGTTCAATACCCAGCACAGAAGGAAAAAAAAAAACAAAAACAAAAAAA